CACACACACACACACACACACACACACACACACACACACACACACACGTTTTATGTCCTTAACATTGGACAGCAGAGATAAATAGGAAGAAGTTTAGCTTAAGAGTATTTCGGCTACGTTCCCACATAGTAGTGTGATTTACCAGATTGACTGAGGAGGAACGTGTGAATAAATACAGAAAGTGGCTGATAAGCTCGACATAGCACCATCTCATCAATGAATTTCATGTTTGTTTTAAAATGGAAACGTGGTCGGCTCAGCATCAGCGGCAGCTGTTGAACGATTGCTAATTCACCATATTTTCCAAATAAGGCTGACATCATAGCGTTGTTTAAACATACACCAACTTCCATGTTAAGTTCATTCATTTAGAGAATTAAAATGAAATTATGCCTGAAAACACCAAAAAATATCCTTTTATGAGGAAACTAAGACAGTTAATGTTCAATATTTGATACGAGCAGAGAAACACTGAACTACACCTGAAGAGTTGTTTCTGCTCAAGTTAGTAGCAAAGAAAGGAAATGTGAGATTTGTGTGCCAAAAGGTGCCAGAACGGCATATTCATATTTTGTTTTACCACTTAAAATTAAGTAAGCCACATATTTTAATTTAGTTAATATATTTAATATTGTAAATCACCAACTTAAGCAGAGCTTAAAGTGTGTCAACAAACCAGCCGTGCACATCTTCGGCCACACGAGTAACTGTGTCTTACTATCCAGTGTGAAGTTAGACCCAAAGTTCCTCATCTTGTTTCAGACTCGTACGTGTTGCAACAAATATTGAATTTCACCAAAAGAAAGAAAACAGACTCGAGAGCATCGCTTGCAGAGAGAACAAACTGCAGGACATGTGAGCAGAGTTCAGAGAACTGGTCTGTGTGCAACATGCACGCGTGAAGAGAAACGTGATGAGATTCAGATCAAAAAGACGGACGATGTGCTTCAATCTGCTTTCAAATGTTACATTAAATCATTCAAACAGATTGTTTTAGTGACTAAGACAAAAGAAAGACATCACACTACTGAGCACCTTGAATTTAAAGCAGACATCCGTTCATTCAGTGCTGAGCAGCAGCAAGTACTGATTTCCTTATTGTAAAACCACCATTTTAACACCCTTCACATAAACATGACCAGTACCTTCTGCTCAAGGCGACTATAGTGGTCGTTAGTGTGCGTGCATGTGTGTGTGTGTGTGTGTGTGTGTGTGTGTGTCTCAGAGATCCCAGTACAGATGCCGGTCTTGGAGGCGGTTGGGTAGTGCAGACGTTTTGAAGCACCAGTGAGTGAGGAGAGTGCCTTTGTCCACACCGGGACATTTGCATAGTTTATATCATTTTTGAGGTAGTTTTCAACAATTACCTGAAACGTGAAAGAAAGATGATGATGAGTGTCTCTATGGTGTTTCAATTGGGTCACTTTCATAATTATCCCCCAGCACGCTTTTCAACACTTTAAATCTAAAACCCAAGAATTGACTTACCTTGTTCAATCACAACAGCAGCTTGTTTGGAGCACAGGTATCACACAGGTATCCTGTCTCTCTCACTCCCTACTAGTCTCTCTCTCTCTCTCCCTCTCATTCTTGCCCTCTTTCCACCTTCTGATTGCCCTTCCCCCTCTCCATCCTCCCCCCTTCCCCTCACCCACCAAACCCTATCTAGGTCGGTGGCCAGGGAGCTGGGAGGTCGTGTAGGTGCCATGCATGCCCTGAGTCCTCCACATGCTCCCACCACCACCACCACCTGAGCTGCTGGCCTGTGGTGGAGGGGGCAGCCGAGGGGAGTAGTGCACCGCGTAAGGACGAGAGGAGGAGGTTGACAGAGAGGAGGAGAGGGAAGCGGTAGCGGCAGCAGAGACAGAAGCAGAGGAGGAGATGGAGAGAGAGAGGGATGACTGAGCTCTCTGGTGGTGGAGAGAGGAGTGGGACAGACGGGAGGAGTGGAGGGAGTCGGATCGAGAGGACGGCGGGGCGTCAGAGTGCGTGGGTGCCGAGGAGGAGCTGCTGTGCAGGGGTGGAGGGGGGGGCAGGGTGAGCGTGGGCGGAGAGGGGCTGTGCAGGACTGACTGGGTGCGGCTGTGCTGGGCCTGGGAGACGGGGAGCGGTGAGGACGAGGACAGGCGCATGGAAGCTGGCTGGGGGGTGCTGTGCTGCTGGGTTTGGGAGGAGGTAGAGGAAGAGGAGAGACTGAGCAGAGAACCGAGGCCTCCAGAGGTGGGCAGTGCCACCCCAAACTGATGGGAGGACACTGTGGGAACCACGTGGTGAAATATACCTGTAAATCATACAGCAGAAATGGAGGGAAGGGGAGAGAGTGGAGACAGAGGGGGGGGGGGGGGAGAGAGAGAGAGCAGTGGCAGAGAGAGCGAGAGGGAGGGGGGGACAAAGAGAGAAGCAGGGACTGAGCCAGGTTGTGCAGAGCGCCAAGCGAGTCTCAGACAAGCACACAGAAAGCAAACAGAGTCAGTCCACCGTGACCGTCACTAAAACAAACCGGTTGGCCAATTTAGGATTGCACAGAACCGTTCTTATTATAGATAAAATGATTTCTGGGTGGATTTTTTTTGCTTACAAGTGAAATGACTCTGACATACAACTCCGACAGATACACCCACAGAAAATGACAATATAGTAATAGTTCATGTAAAACACGTCAGTAATTCATCGTCAATCAGTTTCCATTGGTTCAGATTTCTCCAGTTTCAACATTTTTGTGAAAAAACATTTTCCAAGGGTGTTTCCAACCGCAGCACTCCAACAGCACGTCCATGTCAAAGCGGGGCGGCACAGTCAGTCAGTGGAGCTGCACAACTAATCAAATTTCCGTACCGAACACAACTTTTTGGCTTCTCCCAATTGATCGACTCAGAACTCCGCTGCACATCAAATCGAGTGCTTGCTAGACTGACGGAGAGTAACAGTGCTCTGCTGATTCATTTTGGGTAAAGATATTTGGTACAGTTGTATTTTGCTTCTAGGAGATGAACTGTGAACACGAACCCGTCAAATTTTGAAGCAAAGATTTAAATATTAGCAGGAATGTAGCATAACGTGAAAGTGAAAGCAGTGCTTAGTTTATTTAAATGTGAATGTGCAATAAAATAAAAATCGTGATTATCATTTTGGCCATAATTGTGCAGCTTCACCAGTCAGTCAGTGAGTGAGTGAGGCAGACAGAGACAGCAGCAGTGGACATCCACTTACCTGTTTCTATTAGCAGACCCATTCCCTCAGGACTCACACTATTCTTTGTAAAGAGGACCCCCAGACTAAAACCATGACCTGGACACTGACAGCTCAACGACCCCCGAGGTAAAACTCTACATGATCCGTTTGTCACAATGATGCTCACCTCCAGCCGCTCCCCCTGCCAGCCCGGCACTGGAGAAGCTTCCCAGGGCGGAGTGTCCGTTGACGAGCCTCGGGGTCCCACTCACCGTGGATCCTCCGGTCTGGGCCCCGAACAAGGACTGCAAGACTGAAGTCCCTCCGAGTGGGAACTGCGACCCCAGGTACTGCCCCACAGAGGACCCTGTAGTTGAGGACACTGCTACAGGACTGCCCCCCACCTTCCCGCTGAGAATGCCCCCACCACTGCTGGCAGCAGCAGAGATGAAGAGGTTCTGACTGGCCAGGCTGCTGCTCGTCTTCATTTCCCAGTCGCGAGGGGCCTTCTGTTTCTGGAGGGCCTGCCGTTGGTCTGAACCACTGCCTCCCTGGGCGCCACCACCACCACCACCACCACCACCACCACCGACCCGGGGCCCTGCATCCTGACTGAGGAAAGGGTTGGGGTTCATGTAGCTGGACGACTCTCCGTCACTTCCTTTCCTCGCCTGCTGATGCTGTTGTTTGTGGTCAGAATCTGAGTCGGTGCCCCGGCACGACCCCCCCATGCCGAATGGAGAGCCCCCCTGTCTCGGGTCAGAGTTGGGTTGCTTGGGGTCGGAAATGGGCGAGAAGGTGGATTTCCACTTGCTGTTGGAGGACAAGGAGGATGAAGAGGAGCCATCACTGCCTGTGCTGTTACCACTGCTGCTACCAGACTTCCTGACTAGTGGAGGAAAGAAGAAAGACGGGTTGGCGTCAAGTAGAAGTACAAAATGAAGTTTTTAATAAAAGTGACATTTTCTTTTCTTACCTCTTTCACCATCCCCATGTCTAACAGGTCCATCTCTGCTCTCTAAGGATATAGTGGCAATTTTTCTTTCAATTCTAGAGAAAAAACAAAGAACATTCAAAACAAAATGAGATGGAGCCCCATAATATCTGCAACAGAGCTGAGGCAGTCAAAAAGGCAAGAGGTCACTAGCTTCAGATTAAAAATAAGTAGGCAGCTCAGCACGTACGTTGTTGTTACTCTTATCTTCCAGTATTATTATAATAATGACTACGTTACCGTGAACTGGAGCTGTCGGCAGGGTATCCTGAGTCCTCGTCGTCAGAGCTGGGGGCAGAGGAGTACCGGCCCGAGCCGTTGAGCTCCAGCGGTCGCTCTCTCTTCAAGATGGGAGGCTGGTCCAGGTCCGCCCCGATGGGGCTGCGGCTCGATTGTTCTGGGGAGGAGATGGCAGAGATCTCCAGAGGCTGGTTGATGTTGTTCACCTGTTGGAGGAAAAGAAGGACGGGCAAATGACAACGGGCAAATGACAATGAGCGAATCACAGGGCGACTGTGGCTAAGTGGAGAGCAGGGCCGTCCTTCAATCATTGGATCGGCGGTTCGATCCCCGGCCCTCTCTCTTCATGCCCTCGGTGACTCACCATGGAGTTGATGTTGAGTGGCGACCCAGAGGACGGGTTGTTGGACCTCCTCTTTGGGGATCCGCTGGCTACGACAGCGGCGGTGGAGCTGCGTTTCCGTCTCCCCCGCTTGCGTCCCTCTTGCGAGCCGAGGCCGTGAGAGGAGTGCGATGACGTCGTGTGTGTGGGGGGGGTGTGAGTGTGCTGCGTGCCGGGGGACTGATGGTGATGATGGTGGTGGTGGTTTCCATGGTTACTGTGGTATCCCTGCTTGTTGCCGGCGTGATGGTGGAGGCGTGATCCTCCGGCCACGCTGCTGCCTGACGAAGAGGAAGATGAGGAGGAAGAGGAGGAGGAAGAGAAGAAGATCCTCCTTCGCAGTTCACTGTCCTGGGGCTCCGTGTCGGACTCGCCTCCGTGGCGGTCCTGCCCGTCCTCTGGAAGGATCCTCGGGGGTCCATCTGCGTACTGAAGCACCCCTCCAGTGCTGGGTGGTGGGCTCTGGGTGGGACCTCCTCTGCCCATTGGTGCTGTCAGAGGAGTGTTGGGGTGCGGTGGAGGGGATGAAGAAGCACCATTATGGTCCTCAGGATGGGGACCTCCATTCATCAACCCTGAGCTGGATGAATATCCTAAACATAGACCAAGAAGGTAATGGATTGAGATGGACAGGAAGAGTAGACCACATAAATATAGAAGGCACTGATCAGATCTTGTTTTATAATAATAGTGAATATAATATGTGACCAAAGTTAATCCTTACCATTGGTCTGTCCTGCCTGAGACACAGGACTCGGAGTACTTCTCTGAAATTATGAATGCAGACCAGAGTTATTTATATTATTATTATTATTATTATTATTAGCAGTGAACAATTTGTCGTAAACTGAAACCAAATAAAAGGGATATTATCTGGTTAAGAATAATAAGAATGAACTTAAATTCATTTCAGTTTTAGAACAATAATATATTAAACCGAATGAAGGAAACATCACAAACTCTTGTGACATTCAACCACAGAAACTGAAAGCGTTGACATTCCCGTAGATGGCACAATGCTGCAATAGTTTCACATTACGGTCATTCCTACACAGTATTTTATATGTATACGTATCATATTTCTGAGACATTATACCCGCCCCCTCCCAAAAAAGAAACTAAAACTACTGTAAACATATAACTTAAAAAGTAAAACTAGCAAACCCACTCTGAAAACTAGCTAAAACTAATATAATCTTGATGCAGACACTTTATCACAATGTGAAATCCAAAGAAACTATCTAAAAACATCTGTGATTACCCAGGTGGAAGGACTAGAGTTTGATCCAACATAATTCTAACCTCTTCATCTTACTGCCAACACTTTATGACGGTACCTCCATCACAGCCCTGCACTGAAGGTACTCACCAGTCTCTCAACACGGCTGGGCAGCACCACGCTCGCTAGAGGGATGCTGATGGGTAGTTTACTGGGGTGGACCGTGCTCAGAGGAATACTTATTGGAAGGCTTGTAATGCTGTTGTCACCCTGAACAGATGGGCTCCTCTCCTTACCGGCCTATATGAGAGAACAAATGGACAATGACTTAACAGTGAGAGAGCTGCAAGGGAGGTAGAAAACTTGCACACATATCATCAATAGTGCAAGTGCACAGAGAGCGAGATAGACAAACATTTACCCTCTCGAAACCTTTATTCTGGACATCGGCTGCATTAGGAGAGGGGCAGTTCAGTTTGGCTCCAAGCGGGGAGTTAACACCTCCAAATTCCCTTAAAAAACAAACAAACAGAAACTGTCAAATGTAGCTTCAGCTAGTTAGCCGTCCATTGCCTCGGGGAGCAACGTGGGAGAGAAAAAAAACGGTTTTAGTATCAACCAACCTGTGTGTGGTCATCCCCGGGCCTCTCAAGTGAGCAGAGGCACTTGGGTCCTGGTTCAGGTGCCTCCGCAAGGCAATCTTGGCGGGGGAGAAGCGTGTGTAATCAGGAAGAGCGTAGGAGGAGTTTTGCTGCCTCTGCCGTGCATCGGGGATGGCGGGCACGATCTCGTGGTCTGGGGAGATGGGCAGGTAGCGAGAAAGAAGCTCCCCCTTGGTGTTGGCCCGGTCAAAACAGGGCGAGCTGGTGCCATTGATGGACAGATCCAGGCTGACGCCGTTGAGGGCCGGGGCCGAGGACAGGCCAAGCTTGGAGGAGTCCATGTCGGTGGAAGAGCGGGACTCCAGGCTCTTTCTGTACGGGGAGCCGTCACAGGGGCTGTAGGATTTGAGCTGAAGCAGCTCCTGCTGCCTTTGACTTTTCTCCAGCTCCACAATGCTGATCTACAAACACACACCAGGGGGAGACATTACGCTAAAAAACAGGCATCCTACAACGCCGCTGACATGTCTAGGAAAATGTTTGTGACAGCAATTCATCAACTCTTCCTGAAAGTAACATTATACACAGCAAGTACGGAGGAGTATACAAGAGGTGGAAGAAAGAGACACACAAGCTTCTGGTATTGAATCCAGTAAATTGAGGAGGCGGACTGTGTACCTGCAGCTCCAAACAGTGTCTCTGTTTCTCAGAGATTTGTCTGCGCAGCGCCTGCTTCTCCTTCAACAAACTCTCCAGACACAAAGAGCCCCAATCTAGCCTTAGCTCCTCACATCGAGACTTCAGCTGGAAAACACACAAACAAACACACTTGCTGTTATTCAATCGCTTGATGCTCAAGCAACGTGACATATAATTCGACATTGGCTTGACTACAGCTGAACTGGGAGTTGGGAGAGCAGCAGGAATGGGGACAGGTGTGAACCACTGGGGACGATGCTGTATTAACAGGTTGGAGGTTACAACAACATAGCAGCAAGCCCGGAGGTCTCACCAGCAGCAGGCTGTGGTCTCTCAGCAAGGCCATGTCTCTCTCAAGCTGCTTGGTCTGTTCTTTCAGCTGACGATTGTGGGCCGATATCTCCTTCTGGGCCTGCAGCAGGTCCTCCACAGTCAAGGCTTTCACTCCCAGCTGATCACCACACACACACACACACACACACACACACACAGAGCGCTATGCATCAGCTACAAATACACAACGCATAAACAAGAATTTAACATCAGTGAAAAACCTGACCTACAATGGTCGAAGTTCTCACCCTGTAGCAGAGACGTAGAAGTGAACACAGTAGGGTTTTAGCATGTATTCGTGCCAAACGGTCACAGTATATCAGGAATATTGTCTTTTTCGGAATAAGGGCAAAAACCGCAGTATTTTCAAAGTTTCAGCCAGAGAAGCTTTGGGTTAAGTTAATGCAAACTACAACAAAACACTGGCAGAAAACGTATGTTCTCCATCTTTCACATTCAAATGGACTGTTTGAACCATGTTCATCTCGAAATGGGGTATAAGCTGTTCAGGTTGTCCATCAAATAGCCATATTTAAGCACTAATATTAATACACATGCTGTGCTTTGGATGGATGTGTATCCTTAATATTATTAATTATCTCAAAATAAAATAACTTTATAAGGATGGATGAGAGTCAAAGATAACGATGGAAAACAATACAACAATGTTCCTCTGTCCGTGCAGCTGTGTAATGGAGAGAAATTAAGAAGCAGTTCCCACCTCGTCTAGTTTGGTCTGAAAGAGACCTTTGATCTTGTCTTTGTGAGACTGACAAACAGAGTGGAGCTGCTCCGCCTGCCCCGACAGATCACTGTGCTTTTGCTAGAGACAGAAAGGAAAGAAGATCATAGGTAAGAGTTTGGGCGAAATTGCAAAAACATGAAGAGTTGTGTTTTTGTTGGGAGGGAAATTGCCGCAGTAGCAAATCAATAATGTCTGCAACTGCATTACTCATTACCTTCTCCTGTTCTAAAAGCTGCTGCAGGTTGGATCGGTACAGAGGAGTCTTCATGTGGGTCATAAACTGGAGGTATTGAACTTTGATGTTATCTGTAAAAGAGGGTTGGGGAGACCGAGGGAGCAGGAGAGCAGAAACACAGGATATACATGTATTAGTTAGGTTGTTGGGGGAAATGGCTTCTACTACATCCGACGAAGCTTTGAGTCTCTCCTTCTGACCTCATTTGCAAATTCTGCTCCTCTCACTGTTGCATTAACTTTTCATAGGGATCAAAACGTCTGGTATAACACGTACGACTACTTTGAACATGACAGATAAAAAATGAATCCCAGTCTTCATCGACTCACCGAGCAGTTGCTGCAGAGCAGGAGGAGTCTGGCTCAGAAGCAGCTGACTGGAGGGATAGTGGACCTTGGGAGGTAGCTGGTAGAAGGGACTCGGAGGCGGTCGGTATGCATCTGTACACACAAGAAGAACATTCACTTTAAACTGAGATTTCTAGGCCACACAGTGTGGATGTAACATGAGGTGTGTGTGTGTGTGGCCTCTGACCCTGAGGGGGGGCTGCAGAAAGGGTCTTGGCATGCAGCAGATCCAATGCGCTCTGATTCTTCTTGTTTTTCTTCTCGGCAGCCGGGGCGGCTTTCTTGGGTCGACCGCGCTTCTTGTTGTTCAACTTGCGAGGTTTGGGCAGAAGTCGGGCTCTTCGGGGTTTGGCAGAGGCCTTGACCACCGTCACTAAGCTAGGACGCTCGTCCTCACCGCAGGAGTCCTGCTGTAACACACACATGCACAAACACACACACACACACACACGGACATATTCATAAAAAGAGCACAGACAGCTCGCCCTTAAGTTAAGTTAAGTTGATTAATGTTTAATAAACCAAGAAAGAAACATTTGAGGGACAAAATGGCACACATTGTAGAAAAAGGAAATGCACTTCAGGGGTCGAAAAAAGCCACGTACACGTGGACGCAATTCTGAGCTTTAAACGCACCGGTGCATGTAACTCAGTACAGAAACTCTGTTGCGCTGGGGCGGCCAACTCTCACTCATTGACAATGAAACTCAACGTAAAGGCTAAAATGTGTTCATATCTTACCTTGTTTTGTTCTTTAGGTTTGGTCGGCGTGGTGCTATTGCTTTTACTGTCCTTCGTATCCTTCTGCAGACGTCGCCGAGCTACCTCTTGCTCCTCCTGATATAAGAAGGAGCAGTTTAATTGTTTGATACAGAAAAACATAGCGAGTTCAGTGACTCGTGTCAACACACTGAGGAAGAAGAAAATCACTTACCCTGAGTTTAGGATTTTTGAGGGTAGCAAAATAGTTTTCAAGCTGAAAGAGGAATGAAGTAAATATGTTATTTTCATTATTATTTGAAAGTGGCAACATTCTACCTAAGTTGAAATAACCATGGTGTTTACATCAACATTGTCTGTAAAATGAATTCAGAAATAAAACATTGTGAAGATTTCTAAATCCCTGCACAGTCTGTACTGTTATGTCTCATTGCATCTAAACCAGTGATTCTCAACTGGTGGGTCGTGACCCAAAAGTGGGTCGCGGACCTGTTTCAGTGGGTCGCGGGCCTTTGCCTGACAAAAAATTAATTAAAAATGTGATTTTATTTTGAAGGGCACTTTTTATGCAGCGGAATTATTCCAGCATTTACGGCACTTGTTCAGCGGTGCAGGAAAAACACCGACCAATGCGTTGTGAATCACATCACGTGATGCAGCTCAGCCAATCAAATATGGGCATTCTGACAAGTTTCCTGACTTGAGTGAGCTGTAAACACACCGTGACACATGGGGGAGAGACGAGGATATAGAGAGCATAGCAGGACCATTGAGGTGTGAAAGTTAAATCATAGGACAATCTCCAAAAGAGAAGAATGGCCAGAGAGACCAGAGTCATTAGACTCTGACTGGACAGACTCATATAGGTAAATTCTTCCCACACTACTTTCTCTTTTTAGAAGATGAGAAAAATATAATGTTTTGGCTTTTTCACTTCACCCTGAATGAACTGAATTTAAAGCTGCAGGGCAATTCAGTGAAATGAATTTTTCTAAAATGAATTTTGTTACGTAGTTTATTTTTTAATCCAGCTGTTATTTTACTTGAAATGAGAAGAACATTTATTTATGTATTATTTATAATCCATCCAGTTCAATTTGAAAAATGAGAATAATAATTGTTAAAATATAATTGATGTGTACTTTCTTTATTTGATTTGGGTCGTGGTTTGTCATTAAGGGGTGATGGTGGGTCCTGCAGCCAGACCAGTTGAGAACCACTGATCTAAACAGACACGAGTTACTCATATTAAAGCAAACAAGACTTTCCGGTTCATATTTACACCCTGTGATGCGTTTTGAAAACATTATCAGTTGTGGACTGATAATGTTTTAGGATTATGATATTATAATGCAGACTACAGACAAGTCATTTACTTTGATGCAGATACAAAACCTACATGCATGAGGTCAGCTGGCTGCTGGTTGTAGAGAAGCTTTGGACCAGTCACTTGGCCACTTCTTTGAGGTTGATTTATTGTTACTCACCTACATTTGCTTAACCACCAAAAACCCATCCTCTACATTATACAGTACAAAGAATACATTGGGTCATGTACACCATCTACTGTGGCGCCATTCAAGCTAAACCAGCCCACTGTTGGGTACAATAATGCAAAACAATATATACATATCAAGAGCAAGGAGAGAGCAGCCACACTTATAGCACATAACACTTTTTAGGCAGCCTGCCAGCTCTCTCACTGGGGCTACCACTGCTAACAAGGGATCGCTTTAACCAGTTACCAGAGTGACGCACACATCAGTGTTATCTCATGCAGCCGTCTTACCCTCTGTGTTCTATCTTCAGATTACTTACTTCTGGGACTGTCTACTCATTAAGACAATACCAGCTGTTATTAAGGCGGTCGATCTCTGGAGTTTAGGTTACTCTTTGTCTCTAATGTATAGTGTGTTTGTTCCATTTCAGGAGTCATTTCCTGTTTTATTAGATTGTCATCGTCTCCTCTAATACACATTATAGTCTCTGCACTGCTCAAACATCTGCAGTACTTACTATGGTGCGGTCTATGGTATGCAGGTAGTAGGAAACTGGCTTTCCAGTCCAGGACACAGAGCCCCTGAGTGGAGAAAGCTCCACCACACGCATTATTGTGCCAATATCTGCAGGACAGAGAGGGAAAAACACGGCATGTCAGATGCATGTCAAAGGAAGATGAGACGTTTAAATGTGCTTTTCCACTAGTCGTGGTTACTCACCACTCAAGTTTCTACTGTTTATTCTAAAATTTAAAGGTGCAAAAGGTTTGGAAGATACAATTTTTCCACCTGTGGAAATAAAAAAAACCAAAACGAAACAAAATCGATAAACACTTTTTTCTTCAGATACATTCTAGAGGCTGTAGTGGACACGTACAGTAGTTATGGCAAACAACATAAGATGAAATACAATCACTTCCCCAACTTAGAGCCAGTAATCCATATAATCCATGATATATTCTAAATGAAGCGTAGTCATAAAAACGGCTGTTAGCATCTGCTACTAAAAGCCTTATTTGTCATCCTTTGATCAGCTGCCTCCTGAGGCCTTTTAAATGTTTCAATTTGTTGCAGCTCATCAACCATCATCTCCGCCATACAACTCATTCAGTGACATTTAAAATGAACACATAGCTCACTGTGGAGATTAAACGATCAACGGAATGAGACTCACGTATTTCTATCTCATTGTCACCAAAGCTATTTTACGGTTTGCTGACAAATACTAACCTTCCTTCATGTTAGCAAAGCGCTCCTTCAGCTGGTGATCTACCTCTGGACCAAAGGCAAAGTTATTCACAAAAATAATACTGCAAGACAGACGGAGAGAGAAACATTTTAGATCTACAGTTGGAAGCAAATACAACATATTCATTTTGGCAAAGTTCTGCAGACACATTTGTTAAAGAGTTGCTAGCTGTCCTCTAAACCTATCACATAGGAGCCATGCATGTGATTTATTATCCTGGATACCATGTCATCATTAGGTACATACATTTCATAATGGTAGCTTTTATTACAGGACTGAACCTTTCTTTACAACGCTTTCTATTTTCCTCGTGTCTCACTGTATACATTCAGCTTATAAATGGACTTGTTGGTGGAAAGTGGAATGGACATTGCTTCTTTCAGAGAGTTACGGTGATCCGGCTTGGTATAACACCTTGTGTTGGCGATCCTTTCCTTCCATTCTTCAGACAGAAAGTCACCTCTCTCCAGCTGAAAGACACAAAGCAGAGTAAGGGGTAGGGAATACCGCGGCTCTGCATATCAATATTTAGGTTTTTTTTAAAATAAGTATTATAATAACTTACTGAGTACTCCCCGTGTTTCTTCCCGTACCATTTCATCCACTTTTTAAACTCTTTATCCATGCTCTGAGAGAGAGAATGTGAAGATTAATATCCAAACAAAATGCCGCTGTGGTGTGTTGCAACAGGGTAATGATGAGCCAATGAAATGTGAACCAGAGAAATCCACTTTGACAATTGATTGGACACAAAAGACGCCACACAGCGGAAAAACTTCCGACTTCTCGGTTTATCTGCCAGCGGTGATTTGCACTGCGCCAACTCTGCGTCATTCCACTACAATGACCGAGGAAGCTGAGATTTGTGTTTTTTGACACAGCGCTGTGGTCTCGCTTTTCTCTGCTCTCTTTGTGGAATACCCCTCCGGTCCTGCGAGATATTTATGTGGTTACCTCTGCATAGGTAGCTGGAGTGTCTGCTTTCTCTACACCGTAGTAGTGTCTACAGTTGGTTGCTGCTGCAACCTGCAGCACTACCTGCCCCACTCCTGCAAATTAGAAAACAAGAGGATTAAGTCCTACACCACACAGACAAAAGACATTAAGGCCGTAGAGCCACCTTGTTTATGACTTTAAGGGCAACAAAAGTTACAGAAAAACTATTAATTTCTCTGTAGAGTCCTTAATTTTGCTAGAACATTATGATAACGGTGGCAAAAACAAGGACATGGAGGTAAATTGGTGGCAAGAATTTGTCCCAAGCGATTACATTGCAGCCCGATTATTGGCAGCGTTCTCGCTAAATACTCGACCAATTTTAAAAATGTGTCACTTAGACACGAAAACACTGGAAAGTCGGGTTCAGGTTAAAAAAAAAAAACAAAGTTAACCTTGAACAACAATGTTGATAACCATTCTTTCTTTCACCCACACGCATCCTGACCGCCTCCTACAACTCTAAACAACTTCACTGTTCTTTAAGAATAAAAGAAATATCAATATTATTATTTGTTTATCAAAAACTGTTCCCACTACATGATAAGGAAACTATCAAACATATTATAAAAGGTCTGGGGATTCACTCCTATGTCCCAAAACAGCAGCGGACTAACCACTGCCGAGGTCAACGAAGGTGTCGTCTTCCATCATTTCCATCTCGCCGATGATCTGAGCAACGAGGTCGAAAGAGGTCTCTCCGTACACCTCGGGGGAGAAGGGCTCGTAGTTGTTCAGCTTCTCCGGGTCGGTCACCGAGTGGTTGTACACCTGCTGTAGGACGTGTCTCAGCAGCCCGTTAGAAGGTCGCTTGTTCAGCTTCATGGGCTGGGAGGTGCCTTTCCACTAGAGAGTTGGATTATATATTTATTCACACAAAAACTCTCAAAGTCTGCAGATGTTATCCAGCGCTGCTTGCCTTTCAAAGAGAAGGACAAAACAACACAATAATTATGTTGTTGTATGATATGTTTTCTGGAAAACTAATAAGAATATCTGAATGAAATCCATTCACAATCATAATTTCTGACACAACTGTGGACTGTACAGCAACAGCACTTATGAAACTTGGTCAATAACTACATTATCATTAATAAATCATTCACTGTAAATATATATATTGTGGCATTGATTCAGGAACCCTGTGATAGACTCACAGGACACTGATGTTCACTTTCAGTGATTAATGTTTCCACGTTCACTTCACCTACAAGCACTAAACACCCTCCACACACACACAGACTCACCAGCTGGTGAAAGCTGTCGATGGCCCTGTTGTACTTGTCACAAAGTCTCTGCATGCTCTCGAAGCTGTGAGAACAACAAGACACACAATGAAAACAATCATTTAGTACAAGATGAAACCCAACCTCCCAGCCCAACACCACCTGTGTTAATGGTGACAGATATTTACTGTGACTGACACTTTAAGATTAGTTTCTTTTTTTCAGAGAAAACCAACCTCAGGCAACTTAGAAAACAAATACAAACGGATGTAGACACTCGACTCACCTCTTGGTGTCGTAGTCAATGAGTACGTAGTTTTCCATTGCCAGTTTGAGGTCTGGGATCTCCTCACACACCCACCTAGAGAACGCACACACAGGAAGTCGTCACTAGGTCGCACACGCGTCACTTTTAGTCACTTGTGGGAGTTCAGAGTCAGAGTAGATGTCACTTACCGAATGGTCTCGATGATTTCATGAGCAGCATCATGGTTTTTATCCTGAAAACAGAAAGAGGTTACAAAATATCAAATACCTCTCAATGTGATCCATTACATTCAACAGCACCACAAACTACAGCTTCCAAAATGACCATAAATTTTAATCATCACCTCTCAAAAACCACAACAAAAACTCTTAACAAAAACCCAACATTATAGCCTTACTGCAGGACTGTGTTACTGCATTGGTTTAAGCTCGGTGCACCTAATTAAACTGGCAACTGAGTTTAGAAAGCCCCAAAAATATAGAAAATTCCATATAATATGAATATAAAGTATACATTTATTAAAAACACAGGCACACTCACTGAAAGTCACTGACATAACTAAATTACAGCTCCATGTTAACACATTGCAATGAACACTACTACGACTGATTCATCCTCTCGTGGCAGTAACATCTCACAGACACAATGGTGAGCACAAACGTCACCGAATACTGTTTAGGCTATTCAGGAAATCAACGATTACAACACATGCTCTCTGAAATGTTTGTGTGACGATGTTAGTCCCCATAGTAGACATTTCATTGTGGTGAGACCAGTATACACAGAATAAAATGACCCGTTTAGACCTCTAGGATAGTCACAGGTCACAATGTGGTGCTGCAACAACTTATGAGACATAATGTCATCATATACACTTCCATCATAACGTTCTTAGCCCTTATACACTTTCAACATCTGATTAAGTGTCCACCATAACACTGTTTATTACGGATTTAAGACCAGAAAACCTTGACACACAGAGCTGAGCATCTCAAATTAATTTTCATGTTCTAAGCTTCCAGATGATGCATTTGACTTTGATGGGGCATATACTGTTGACAAGCTATCTCCCCTTAAAACAGACACATATTGGTTTATGATAGGAGGGGGGAGTGGAAGAGGTTATCTGAAGTTAAACCTGCCTCCTAGTTTTAACTTTAGGTCTCATTTCATTTGGAAACTTTCAAGAAACTGGTTTAGTTCATTCAAAAACGCATCTCCATCAGACTATTCCAAACCATGTCTGAGATTTAAGTTAATCTGATACAAAAAAGGCACTTGAGTCTAGAACAAAGCTTCATAAAATAAGATAAGATTGTAATGATATTGACCCCATGCAGGGAGTCTATAGTTAGCCATCTTAGCTGGAGTGTGCTCAGCAGCTCTGTGGGAGTAACGGGACTCAAGTTACACCCAGAACGCAGCCAGCCTGAGCCTGTTGCCTGAGCTGACCCACTGACCCACTTTCTGTCTCCGACTCCAGCGCACTGCCAAGAAGAGCCTCTGGTGGAGGGAACGAAAAGAAGGGGAGCGTGAGAGAGGGGGGAGAAAATCAGAGGGTAAAAAGGAAAGAAAGTGAAAAGAGCTAGAAAGTGGGGAAAGTGAGGGAGGGGGCAGAGCGAGGGAGGGGGCAGAGCGAGAGAGAGAGAGAGCGAGCGAGAGGTGGGAAAGCCTGGTGTTTGTCAGCTGTTTGAGGCCTGGCACAGCAACCACAGCTCACAGCCTGGAGCTCCTGGCTTCCCGCTCAATACTGCCCGCCACTATGAAACAAACATCCGCCAAAGCTCAAACATGCACGCGCACGCACTCAAATATGCATGGCAACACAGGAGATCTACTGCTATTTCTGTCAGGCACAGCGTTTCGGCTGCATTGTCAAGCTAAGCGCTAGCTGTGTTGCTCATAAAGCAGCACGACCTACAAATCTTCTTCGGCAGATTCAACACACTGTGTTCCACTTAAATATATGGAAGGTGTACACGGTGTGTGAGGATATGAAAGACTCTGTGAGTGAACGGGGGGGGGGGGGGGGTCACCTGCTCACACAAAGACGGCACACAGCAACACTAGCAAAGGGCTGCTGCTAAAAATAAACACTGTCTGAAAGCGAGACAAAAAAAAAAGAGCAGGAGACCCTCCTCTCTCCCCCACCGCTGTGGGTATACTGACGCATGTACGACTCCTCCTTTCCTCACCACCTCTTCAGTCAATCTCTCCTTACACCCGTGTGACCCATGGTGGGTGTCGGGGTTTTACACTACGCGCTGCTCCACTACGTGTACCTCAAGAAGCCTACGAGAACAAATGACTAAGGCAGGCGTGCCGCTTACACCCTTGTACTACTCTCACTCGCCACGGAATACTAATTCTCTCAAACTAAAACAAGATACCTGTGCTGGCTTTCTGTCTTTTAAACAGAGAGGAATTGTGAAAACCACGTGTGTACACTAGCGGGTGACTACCAGCATACTGCTATCCAGAGAAGCTGTCTCGACAAGTAATTGAAAGTAATTGCAGCCTTGTAAATAATAGGTGTTCACAGGTGAGAACCAAACCAAAAGATGTTCAGCGGTACATCTTTTAAATGCTTTGTGGGCCCGGTTCGCACCCACACCCAGAACCAGATGGACAAAGTGCTGCACGCCACCAGCAGTGCTCTTCAGATGGAAGCATTTACAGATGCACAGATGTGGGGATTTAGTGAGAGATGGGGAGAGAGAGACAGGGAGGAACACAGAGGGAATTAAAGTATTTTTATGGGCTTCATTCTAGGGGGATGGATTAGAGTAAAAGCACGCCTGATATTGCATCACCATGTACAACGGCCATGTTGTGTGTATCACAACACACACAGCACTGTCTTCATGCTTTGTGGGTGAGATCAGCGATCGCAATGCTCTGTGGGAGTTTAGAATGAATCTAGATGCAGTGGGCTCTGTTGTTACCAGCAAGCGGTTTAATTAAACGTGACTGGGGGAAAAAAAAAACACACCGACATGTGTTTTTGTATTCTATTAATAAAGCATTGCTGAAGAGAAGCAGTCTCTGCTATCCTCCTCCCTGTAGAGTTGACCATATGGACATGAGAGGAAGTCGTTCCCCTTTGAAAACAGGAGGAGTGCACCACCACATGAATAGGCTCCATATTGCAGAGCTCCTCCACATGCAGGACTATCAGCTGTTTCTAATTCAATGCAGGACAGCTAGTCCCAGTATAAATAGATATCAACAGTATACATTCCTGACATGTTTGCTCTCGTGTTTACCCGTACACACCATAATATAAGGAAATGGGTGAGGCAATGAATCCACTAGGGAGGAACTGTTGGTGTTATCAGATTATGGCCTGGTGTAAAAGGGAGAGTCCACTCTGGCAGCCAAAGCAGAGAGGAGCGGCCGATTACATCAGCAAGTAACTCTGACTCAGGCACTCGAAACCCATTCACTACATATTTTTTGATTAACAAACAAACCGATAGCTGGAACTGAAATAACCAGAGTGCCAGGCTAGGTGCAGCGTGGGCGGAAGTACAGAAAGACCCCCCACACACACATTCTAAGAAATGCAGCACCATAAAGGAGAAACAACTTAAAGCTAACTATACACCTCTGAAACGACCACATAACTTGCAAAAACTTCCTCTTCCGTTTGTCTTCAATGAGTCAACTGCAACCAGCCACTGACGTGCAGACAGTATGATAAGTGGAAACACAACTACAGTACATGTAAGAGAAAAACAAGTCTCAGGCTACATGCATGTGAAAAACTCAAACGACCAAACAACCAGCTGGACTCAATCATAGAAATGCCATACGACACATGTCATGTGCCGGCAGAGTTCACACAAACGCATCTTGGAAATAATCTCACTTTGTTAACGTTAATTATTATTTTTTGTAACAAATGGCAACATTAGATCTAAGCAGAGACACACGTGTATGACCTACGAACGCATGTGTGTCAGTAAAAACATGACAGGTTATAACCGAAAAAACTAAAGTTAGTGTGAGACTGACATCGTGCAGGATGTGAAGAGTGGTCAGTTTAAGTCACTCCTATTTCAAAACATCGTATTACTGGGTGTCAATGTTATTGCTTGGTTGTACACTACATAGTTACGTTATTCGGTACTCTGATCACATGAATTGTGGTCTGTGTGGTTATACAAGCTAAATGTCACGATGTCTGTCAACGTCCCGACCAGTATGACCTGATCACCCGGACGAGCGTGTGCCATTGCTCCTTCAGCTAGCCAATGCTAGCAAGAGAGCTAACGTTAGCTAACAAAAGACAAAAAACAAGAGACAAAATCTACATCCGTGACGGGTGAATTTTAAGGTTTTAACACTTACGTATACCGGTAACGGCCACGGATAGCCAGCGGGTTCTGCTCCGACCGGAGATTTGAGCTTCAGCTCCAGCTTTTCTCCCATTCTCCGCTTCACGGTGGTAGCTAGCTAGCTAGCTAGTTGCTGCTCTCTGTTAGCCAGCTGGTCAGGTTAGCGAGCAAGCTACAACGTGAACATTTTGGTAAAGAAAGAAATACGTGGAAACGCGTAAAATTAAAAAAAAACGTAGACGCTCGCGCGGTAAATACCCACACGATACGGTCACGTGCGCGAATGTAATCTGACTAAGTTTCGTTTTTTGAATAAAAATGCGTGGTTTATGTCCACTGGCAATAACACATCGTCTGTGCTGCCGCCATCTTGCCCCGGCATGAATAAATATGGCAGGGGGCCACTGGGAGCAGAGAGGACACAGACGTCACCGAGGGACCGTGATATCCAGCGCGTGGGGCAGCAACACACAGCAGCACGAGCGAGCACACCGTCGCCACGGTGCGTGACAGCATAGTTCACGTCACGACTTTTTCCAGCTCAATACAGAAGAAATTATGAAGAGCTGGACAATATAACTTAATATTTATAAGTTCCATGATGAAATGGCTTGTTTTCCTAAACAAAGCAAATACTTTGTTTAATCAAAGCAAATACTTAGACTAACTTGGCTTAAGTAAATATTAGATTTAGGTGAACCCGCATGAACTTTTTATAACTAATTTAGGGATACAATTGTTCATCATGAGACAAGCTTTTTAACGATACATTAAAATAAAATAAGATACTCCTTTATTAGTCCTGCAGTGGGGAAAATTACAGGATCCGCATAGTAAATCAAAACAGTATTACAAATAAGTAATAAAACAGTAAAGAATATTATTATAAGAATCTCTCTCTCTCTCTCTCTCTCTCTCTCTCTCACTCTCTCTCACTCACTCTCACACACACACCTGGGTCCTAGAACTAGCAGGTCTACATGAAATGCACATGCTTATTGATGTATTATATGTGAGATACAGCTCCATGTATCAGTTAACTTGTACTCCCGCTGCTCCAGTTTCAGATATTAATTAGGACTTTAATGAAATTCTTTAAATACTAAAAAACTTGAACTTGCTTTTAGAGAAATACAGATTTATAATAAATACTGAACTCAGATCGAAGCACTTCTTAAAACTAGAAAATGCATTGGCTTTAGAAAATGCGTGCGAATGCTGACGGCGGAAATAAATTGTGTGTTGCTGAAAAGTAAAACTGGAAGCTGAACTGCATCGCCTGAAGAAGCTGAGAGCTGAGATGCGAAAAGCTGGAAGGTATACTGAAATAATGCCAAAGCTGGAAGTTCAAACTGATTGCCGTTAAAATGCTGAAAGAAGAATCGTTTCTATTAATGTCAGACAGATTTACTGCATTAATAAACAGAATGCATTGCCCCGAAGAGCTGAAACGTATTGCATGAAAAGAATACTTTCTATCATCAGCAGTGGTGGAAGAAGTACACATCCTTTACTTAAGTTAATGTACAAATACATCATTTAGTACAAGTAAAGGTACACAAAATCCTACTTGATTACATGTGCCATCAGCTTCATGTAGTTTAAGTATCAGCAGTAAAATAACTAAAGTATTATAAGGTTCATGTAGTTAATGTATCAGCAGTAAAAGTACATAAGTATTATCAGCTTCATGTAGTAACAGTACATGTTTAGTCAAATGTCTCCTGTGATATCTGAGCTGGTGGAAAATGTTCAAGCTGGGGCTGTGCCACATCCAATCAGTTTCAGCAAACATCCCAGTATGATTTAATGCAAAAACATGAAGGTATCAAACACGTATTTCTACTTTGCAGTTAAATATTTAACCTTTATTCCAACATGAAAAAAAGCAGTAAATAACACTTTGACAAACACGTCAGGACATCGATTCTGCCACAAGCTGAATCTATTTGAGGAAGCCGATTCCTCAATTGTATGTCACACATTTATATCTCAGCAATTGGCTAAACTGCTGAGATGTGCACACGCGGAGAGGACCTGCATGAAAAGCATATATTTACCGCAGATATATTTTACACATATTACTGGGTGATTCCATATTTCAAAAACACAAATATTGACAATTTGTATAGTTTATTTATTTTATTTTATTTGTTGTGGCTCAAGGTGGGGCGGCGGCCTAGCGCCCTCTACTGATTCTTAATACTAATGCATCAACATTAGAGCAGCATGTTGCTGTTGTAGCTGCTGGAGGTGGAACTATATATACAGTGAGCTAGTTTAGTCCTGCGGTTCCCAACATAGGGGCCGGGCCCCTCCAAAAGGGTCACCAAACACATCTGAGGGGTCATGAGATGAGAGAGGAAAGAAGAAGAAACTAAGTTCTGATACACAAATTTGTTTTCAGTTTACAGACTTGTCTTCATTTTAGTTTTATTGTTAAATGATTAAATCATTTTCCTCCTTTCCGTCTCAAACTATTATTCAAATTAAATCATGAGAGAAGTTAGAAGGAGAAAGATCTCTTTGACTGAACAACTAAAAAACATTGATGGCAACCGATATTTATTATACGCATTTAAATTTGTAAACTAGTAGCTAAAGTTGTCAGATAAATGTAGTGGTGTAGATGTAAATTGGCATAAAATAGACATACTAAAGTCCTCAAATTTGTTCTATACTTAAGTAAATTAACTCTGTATACTTTCCACCATTGTGTATTAATTCTCACATTGATTATATTCTACATGTTGGAGAAAGCACATTCCCACTCTATTCGCTCTTTGTACCGATCGTGTTTGTTTTTCATAGTGACCATATATAGACTGTTTCCACCCCTTAGTCTGGTCTTATATGCGCTCCTAACAGGTTGCCAAGCTGCCCACAGATCAGATGCCAGCAGTCGGGAAACGCTTCTCTCTCTCTGCACTTCAACATGTATGACGCCAGTATTAGTCTCTGGAAGTAGAGATATGCTGCTTACACATACAAATGAAGCCATTGTATTTGAATCTATTCTGAAATGCCCTCATGTCCGACACACATGCCAATTACCTCGCACAACTGACCGACCTTTAGTTCAACCGTGGCCTACATTTCCCCATTGCATTGCTGACCCGCTCTGTTAGCAGATCATCTAAGCAGACCCCCCCCCCCTCCCTCCCTCCCTCCCTCTGCATTTTAGTGCAGAAATCCCACAAGAAATGAAATCCAGGCTGAGAAGTAAAACCTTGAAAACACAGAGGGGTGGGAGGAGGGCTTTAAGTCCCTCTACGATGCGTGTAAACATGTATATGCTGCTGCATGTTGAGCAGAGGGAGAGATGGCAGCCTGCCACAGTGAACTCTCTAACCCCCCCCCCCAGCTCCCTGCACAGCGCTGCTGAGGCCCACTTCGGGATGGGAGCCAGTAGCAGCATAGCGAGGCTCAGGCACAGCTCAGCCCGGCCAAGTGGAACACTGTCGCTATGTAGATTTCTGGGATCTTTCGGTGTGTCAGATTACAGCGAGCCCTGTCCTCTCTGTTGCATTGCTGGAGCATCTTCGCTGCCATGCCAGGGCCTTTTGTTTTTCCTGGATCCACATTTCAGTGTAAGGCACAGAGTTGGCTGTAAATAACAGTCATAGGTTATAAGAGGATGCAGATTAGACACGGGCCAAACACCCTAAATACTGACCGGAGCGGTTGAACTAACCTTTGCCATCACACCGATTCCCGAGGGTGTCATTGACCGTATGAGACACTTCACCTCTCAGGAGAAACGATGCAAACTGGGGAGAACAGAGGGATCTGAATGTCTCTTATTGCTTTTTGTTGAACAGAGACAAGGTGTGCCAGCAGCGTGTGGCGGCTTTGGAAACTAACAGTGTGAAACTGCTGCCATCTGCAGGACACCCTCTTCACCACAGGACTCAGTAATTGTAGACAAATGTTAGTCCTATAAACATTTATCATATATGTCAGTATCCAGACTCCTCTGATGTCTCGGTGCTTCCAAAAACCCATTTTAAAAATAGCTGCTCTATGGGCTTTCCTGAAGAGAAACGTTACATCTTTTGACTCGCCAGAATGATAAGATATGATCCTATAAAAATTGTAAAACACAAATCAAACTCCAGCTGTTTATGTTGCATTCATGGCATCATCACGATCCATCTTCCATATTAATATAAGTCGGGGCTGACCCAATATCAGGTTTCCACTACACGATTAGTGAGGTAAAAAAAAAAACGATATTACCGCAATATCTATAGAACAGTTAAATGTGTGAGTTTTGTTTTTTGGCAGATTAATTACACAAAATACAAGTGTAGGCAGGTGGTGATTGAAGAGGCGCTGGAATATTTAAACAATATTATCATTTGTATTATTAACAGTTCATTTTTTTTTTAATAACAGTTATCTTTAATACTGGATCGCAACCCCCACTAAAAGTACCAAAAACTCCAATAAAGCAAAATCTTCTATGCACCAACTAATACTAAAATTCTACTTCATTACAATATCGGACGGCAACAACTGGCTCAGAATTTCCACAAATCAGGATTTTAAAGAATTTTATTGAAACAAAGATCAATTTCAGTCCCAGTCCCTCATGGTTTTCAAAAAGCGTGCTTTGGGTTTTAGCGCCAACATTTCATGACTCTTCTCCAAAGCCCTCTTTGCTTATACAGCAGCATGTATATACTCGAGAAAAGAAAAGAAAAACCTATACAACAGGTCATTTTGGCACAATCAACTCATACAACGGTACTCCTGTGCTGGCATATCGTTACTGTCAAACAGTTTGCTCTCCGTCGGAGCAAAGCGTGTTCACTGATGAGCACATTCACAATGGATATCTGACCGTAATAAGAGTTGTTATACAGGAATTATGTCAGAATGTTTCTAGAAAACAAGATACAGTGAGTGAAAAGTGTCTTTCTTGTTAAAAAAAAAAAAAAGAAAGAAAAGAAAAGGTTGCAGTACTGGGCAATGCCGATTCTGGTAACAAGATATTCACCGTTACAAACGTCGTGTCCCTCCAGACCCAGATCCAGCCTCAGCCTAGACCCGGTGAGTCCTGGAGCATTGGCCTTAATGTAGTGTTTGCATTAGGAGGGTTACATAATCTGAAATCTGACATTACCTTAAAAAACACTCGAGCCCAGTCATGCAAATCCCCATCTGGAGCAAAAGGAGTCGCCTCCGACTTCTCACAAGAAAACACGGGGAAAGTTTCCACTGGGTGATAAATGATGACGAATGAAATGATAACAGGAAGAAGAGAATACTGTGACATGTTCCTTTGTCATTTGGTAGAGCGTTTTGTTTCATCCCACTCGGTTAAGCACTTTGGTATACATGCTGGTCAGAGCCACGTCGAATCGATACATACTAAATTCAGTTGAACTAGGCCTTTGCTTGGCTTTCGATATCCTTGGGCAGTTTTTTTTTTTTTTTTTTAGTTTTTTTTTTTCTTCAAGTAAAGATACAAAGACTGTTCATTGTAACACATTCATAAAGCATGCACTCTGATGAACAAAGAGAAAAGTGTCATTTGGACAAACCCCCCCCCCCCCCCCCAGGTAACAGCAAGATCAGGAGAAAAAAAGTGCTGATTTTTCATATTTCACATAAAAAGATCGTTATTAAGAAACGCAGTCGCTGACTGAACTCGCTCGTTCATCGGGTGAAGTCAGGATACAGCAGTTCTAAGTAGTCTTCGGACACGGCGAGTGGATCTGTCGCGAGAGCTGATCCGGGAAATAGATTTCAGGTCAACCTCGGTGAATATCTGACATCACATTTGAAAAAGGCAAAAACTGGTCGCAGGTGAGAGAGGCCTCCACCCGGTAACATGATGGAGGATGGCTTCATCTTAACAGTCGTCTCGATGGACTATCACGTGGGTCGATGAGCAGACGAAACTAACAGCTTGATCTCTTTTTTCTTAAAGACGCTGTGAACACTATTTGAACATAACTTGTGTAAATGATAGTAAATTAGCAGATCTGTGGAAGAGAACTAGTTTTTTTTTTTTTTTTTTTTTTTTTTTTAAGGATGAAAAGAAAAAGACAGATCCGCATCCCCCGTCTGCATCATCTTACAATTAAGAGGATTTTACTGAAGCATGAAGAAGAGCAGCGCTGGCGGTTTTTTACTCTTCCGATAACTTTGAATTATTCTATTGCTACAAAAAGCCATCAGGACCTAAACTGGAAAGACAACCAATTAAGAGCTGAATGTAGTTCATCGATACATTATGATGAACATCAGGACCAACTGCTGGAAATCGGTGAACAAGCACTGCGGCTCGTCACAGCTGAGTGAGGAGGACCGTGTTTAGAGAAGGTCTACGGCTCCACAGTGACTGCAGACCTTCTCACATGTTAAGACATCTGCACAGGTTGCTTTTTTGTTTTCCAGAAAAGAAAAGCCGAGCACACAAACCTGCAGCCGACCGTGTGCATTTAGACGCATTGTCGCGATTTGTTCAATGGTAAATATCTGCATCTCTTTAAAAGAGCGAAATATAATTAACGCCAACAGATTGACAATTCGACGGGCAAGGCAGCTTCTGAATAAAATACTGGCTGACATTCATGGTGCGAGGACAGAAAGAGAAGAGACAGCTTTTAAAGTACTGATACCGAGGAGTGTAGAACAGACTCATCCTCCTGAATTAAGTGTCAAAAATAAATAAAAAGGAAAAAACGGAAAAATAACTTCAAAGTCATAACCATTCGTTTCAGTACATGGGGGGGGGGGGGGAAGTGATCATTATAAATTAGTTGCATTTGGCGTAGAGTCCGCAGTTTACATCTCTGTCTCAAATATCTAGTTTCAAAAGCAGGAAAGATTATTTGGATTATCTCCAAAGAAAGTGAGAAAGTTTTCCATGTTCGACTCTTTTAGACCTCTGTTCACATAGCAGGGTTGGGCTGTTGAGAAAAATAAAGCCACGCGGAGCCGTTTTTTTCCTGGATGCATCGTTACTACACAGACGGACCTGGTGCCACACGAGGCACAACCCCGTCCTCCAAAAAAGAAACGGGGGGGGGGGGGGAAGGAAAGAGAAAAATATCATGTGTCCTGCTTAAGTCTTCATTCGAGCCTTTGGCCCCAATGAGGGGGAATACTCCTTTCATGGCATCTTTCATGTGAACATTTTGTTGTTTTTTAGCACAGGCGGAATCCAGAGTTTTCCTTTATCTGCTTGGTTTCCAGAGACAACAGGGAAACAATGTCGGAACTACTTTTAAAGTTGCTGTTGATCGTACTCGGCAATAAGTCTCTTTATATATGCCAGTTTGTTGTGTAGATATTCACAGCGGTTCTTCTCTTGGCTATAGTTTGGATTAGTCTGCAAGGGACATGAAAAAGAGTCAGGATCTGATAACGTACTGACATACCATAAGCCATCAATGTCTATTATAGCGGGACTTAAACTTACCTTTTTTATTTTATGGTACTCTTGAAGTATCTGATTGTGGATTGTCTATGTAGAGAACACAGATAAAAAAAGGATAAGGGTTATGAATATAACTGATTGAGCATCTTTTTAAGTTACTCAAAATGTTTTCTAACAATTTGTGCTTTAGCTAACCTACCTTGTACTTGTCTGTGCCTTGAGGGAGCTGTCTGAGCTCATTGTCGAGCACGGTGAACTGCCGGGTGATGCCGTCTATCCGAGCATGCAGACCTCGGTACTCACTGTACTCGGAGTTGAAATCGTTTTTATACCTCTGACGCTGCTCCGGAGAGACGATCACCATGTACTTCCTAGGAGGGCAAGAAGAGGAAGAAACAGTCACAAAGAATACATCAAAGTCTCGTCAGTACTAACTAACTAAACTAACTAAAAGTACTAACACAAAACAATGAAATTTATTTATCCCAGGCGAAGGCCTGCCACGATAACCTTTGTAGGACGATATATTGTCCAAGAAATAATTACAATCATCAATATTCTCATTTTAAGAATATTTTATGCCACTGATATAATGTTAATAATGCAAGTACAAACTTTCAAAGAGCAATTCACTTTTAATTCTGAAATTAAATATAATTGAAAATATTTTTAAAATATCCGAAGTAACTAAATTAAACAAATAAAAACCACACCACCAAAACAATAAATAAAATGGACGCTCGTTAACAAAAATTGCACTTGACCAGAAGTGACAGCGAAACGTGTCTCATCATAGATTTCATGTTCATTCGGCTTTGTCATATAAGTCGATAACGTAAAAATGATGGAGGTCATGTCCATAGAATACGATAAGTTATTATCCTCACAGGTCCATCCAGGGGTTGTAAAGTCTAAATCTGCATTTAATACTCACAATAAATAGCCTGCCACCTCAGGTGACGACGTAGGAATACTGGTACTGTTGCACATCCCATTCAGATCTGAAACAAAGTCACACAGGTTCACAGGTGTGTATTGGAGGTTATTGAAGGCTATTGAAGGCGTAAACACTGAACAGCAGGGGTCTCCATTTAATCAGTGAGTCACAAACTGGTCACATCACTCTCTCACAGTGATGACTAACTGGTGTCCAGCCACATAGAGAACTACTTTTATTCAGAAATCTCTTATCTGATGCAAGAGCTGTGAAACCGACGTTAGTAAATGGGACATTTTGTGCAGAAGAAAAGGGATGCTGTGTGTGTGTGTGTGTTGCTCTCACCTGTGCTTTTGTGTGGAATACTGTTGCTTTTGAGGTTTCCTGGGCTCAGCTCGCAGGCTTGGTTCTGCTCAGGCACACGTTCCCCACGACTCTTCCTCTCCTTCTCCTGAGCCCTTTCCCTCACCCTCTCCTTGTCTTTGCTCTTTTCCTTGTCTTTATGCTTTTTTGACTTCTTCCTGGACTTGTTGTTGAGAGACGGAGGACTCTTGTCCCGAGGAACGACCGGGCCCGTGTGTCCAGGAGACGGTGTGCCGATGCTGGGCGCCGGGCCCGAGAGCAGCGTCGGTTGTTGGCTGAGCCTCTCAGACACGGCGGTTTCCTGAGAGTCACAATCTCTCCCGTTGTGGCTGGAGTCATTGCTGACATCCGACAGTGCTTCGAAAGGACGGGGGATGTCTAGTAGAGGGAGCTGCTGGGAGCTGGACGTCGTGCCGCCGTCCGACATTGAAACCGCCACTCCGGCCTGAGCGCCACCTGCCTCCCCTCTCCCATTGGAGGAGTTGAGCTTGCCATTAACCGGGGCTGTTGCAGCCTTGCCGGCGAGATGCGATATCCTGGGCTTTTTGTTGGCTAGAGGGTCGATGAAGTCAGCAGCAGGTCGTTTCTGGCAGAAAGAAAAAAAAAATAGCAGTTTTAGTAGCGGAACCCAAAATAGGGTTCAACATGAATTCAATTCATCTCAGAGCGAGTGAAAGGAAAAGTACAGACAAAAATGGTCCGAGCTGTGGGGGACAAGGGAATGTTCAGAAGACAGGATCTAGAACAAGTAGACAGATGGAGAAAGCAACACAGAAGAAAGAGAAGTAGAGGATCTGTGTTCTTAGTAGCAATGAGCATATGATGACTGTGCAGTCTTTTCACAATACCAGGGATTAAATTACAGACGGGCCCCGTTTGACCCAGCCCACACTTATGTCGTTGGGAGTGGCTGACCCGATCCCTGTGTGGCGGCTGTGCCAACAGTACTACTTTTGGGTTCTGTGACGACGAAAACCAGCGAGGAGCTCCTTTTGGGCCTGCAAAGCTTTTTAGACTACTTCCACACTGTTGGTCTTCTTCTTACGACACCCAAAAACTAGTAGAAGACACTGCAGAGTAGGAAAAAACAACACTAATGTTGTAGAGTAGACAAGGCTTTTACTAATGCTGATGTATGTTTGCATGGATGCCGTCCTGTGCTGTGCATCAGTATTTTCAGGAGGCCAAATGTATGAGACGGTGGAGAGCATGACGAGACAGAACAAAGTGGGGCTGAGATCCACAGTCCAGTGGATAATGTCTGTAATTAAGGCCGGGCCATATATTGTTACTATATCGACATTGTGATATGAGACAAGATATCGTCTTACATTATGGATCTCTAAATATTGTAATATGGCATAAGTGTCGTCTTGCCTAGTTTTAAAGGCTGCATTACAGTGATGTAATATGCTGACTGTTATAGCTGTTCTATTATTTGCTATTAGCCACTTACTTTTGTTTCTGTAAACCAGTGTGAACGGGAAACGTTTTTTGAAATGCTAGCAGGGATGGAAGTTATCTTGTCATTTATCCGTCTATGTGTGGACACGGTCTCACCCCGTTTGCCCTGAAGCTCTCCCTGATTTATCCATCACCTTTTCTGAGGTTTACACACAGCCTTTACCTGCTGTGGTGCGCTCTTTGTACACCAATGAATCTAAAAAGAGAGCCCGGGGAACCGTTTGTTTGTGTACTGTGTTTACTGAGGGAGGGACCGGACAGGAGCAGCCATACAGTAGGTGTCTGAGGTGAGAAGAACCTGAGAGGAAGGAGCTATTAATGTAAACTGAGCAGCTCCTCCTCCGTCTACCTAATGGAAGTGTAAACAATGGTTAGACTCCAGAGTCTGGACTCTCCTTTTAAAAAAAAATAAAATAATAATAAATAAAATAAAATTAATTTTTATCATGCAATGAGGAGAGAGAAAAAGAGTTTTAATAAACTAAAGTGTACCAAGGGGGCCATTTAGTTTAATAACAAGGCTTCAGTGCTCATGCAAACAATGTATGTTTGTTAAAAGCTCATAACCATTAGTAAGTAATACAGGTCAACTGCAAAAAGTTCAGAAAACATTTCCTGCAAAAGGGAATTCACTGAAAAGGCCGAGAGAGGATTTAGAAAACCCCTTTTCTGGGAAATACCAGAAACCTCCAGAATGCAGGGACAACCCAGTTAACAAGGCTGTAGGTAAACCGGTGGACATCTTTGTCCCCAATTCCAGAACAGTTACTGTACCAATGTGAGGGGAAGCTAAGTGATATGGAAGTGAGTGGGAAAGTTAGAGGAGGGAACAGGAAGCTCACCTGAGATGGCGAGCTGCCAGCCAGCTCTTTGGGCGGGCTCTCCAGCGGAGGGGCGGAGCTGTTCAGGGTCTGGTTCTGCTTCCTAAGAGAGGGAACACGTGCGGATAAGAACACAATCTTGATATTATTTCTACAGATTCTCTACTGTAACCTGCATACCAGCGTCACCGGGATCTATTCAACTACCTGTTGAGGTGATGCAGCATCTCCCTCAAGTGCTGCTTTCTGCAACATCAAAGGTTAAAGCCAGATTTGTGCCCTTAAGAGCTTGAACAAAAAAGTAAAAGCTACGTAGCTGCCATTTCTCTAGTGACAAAGTATGAGGGCATTAAAGAACAAGTCACAAGAGTGGCTTTGTGAAGTGGGTAGCTATGACAACAGAGGAAATGAGGGCCTACTTGACAAAGCAGCACTTCACCATAACCACACACTTCATGACAGGGAATAACTTAAATCATTATAAAATCTGTTCACAAGTTGTATACCAGTTTTAATAATCCAATTGTGCCGTCTTCTCTTTTCCACATAACAGGTCACGTGTTAGCTCGCTGCATGTTCATTTAATGCTTGAACAGTTCTGGCAGCGAGTTCAAGGCGAGTGAGAAGGTGACATGGCGAGAGAGACAGAATATGGTAGCGCGGCTCACTTTGTGTGCGCATGTTGTCGGTTTATCAGACAATACAAACACCAAACCATTGACTACACGGTGCAGAACATCCCTGATCCAATGGATTCCCCCCAAACTCAAGATGAATCTATCACACAGCAAGTGTCGAAAACAAAACAGCTGTGCCAAACAGAAGCTATCCAGCGATGATGAATAGTGTTTAACCAACTGATCCAGGCTTGTTTTAAAACATAACACGCAGTTAAGAATGAATTATTAAAGATGTATTTCAGCACGCAGCATGTTTACCGACGGGAACAAAAAATCCACTGCTCCAAACACGACATTATAATCTGAGATGTGGAGATGCTGCTGTCACAGCTGACAACATTATCAGAAGGGGGCAGTTGGGTACGCAGAGTTTTGTCGACGCCCCACCCTGGTTCACTGTGTGTGTGTGGTTGTTGGTGCGTTTGTGTCTGCGGTGAGGACAGTCAGAGAGGCAGGCCGAGCGATATGGCTGAACCTTGGACGGGTGCCACCTCACACACGGATCAGCATGTGCTGGAACACTGTTGCATCATGTGCGTTCCAATCGCGTTGCTGTGCTTCTCCTGCGTGACTTACTGTATTAGCTCAAAAGTCTGGAGGAGCAGCGGGGGGGGTATTAGGTTGTTAGTCAGCTGATAAAACTCACAGAAAAAAAAAGAGCTCAAAGTGTCGATTAAAGAGAGATGCACAAATAGGCTGCAAGTATGTGTGGATATGCATGCCTTGCACACACAGAAAATCCAACACTGTAATGCAATAAAGCAATACTGTAATGAGTACTTTGTAGAACCTTTAATGGCACTGTGCCAGAAAGGCTGTAGTTTGTGTTAATATACTAATGAACTGTGAAGCATTTGAGTCTCTATATATGTAAATGAGGAGAATAAAACACCAAAGGCCCCTTTTAAAATCCCAATACAACAGAAAACACAGCTGTGTTAGTAGCAGTCTTAACAAAAGCTGGACATCTCAGGTTAAGTAGTTGCACTAAAGTGTGACGATTCTCCAGTGTCTAGCTGCCTTTAGCATTGTACCCCAGGTAAGCTAATTACGGAGGATAGCAGCTATTCTTGAGTCCATTACATAAACACAAATTGAGTGTCGGAGCATTGCTTCCTAGTCTATTTATAGCTGGCTGGGATCTGGCTTTTCCTTAGTGTCCCGGCTTTTCCTTAGTGTCCCAGATCCCGAGAAAACAAGTTTTTCCACTGGGAAGAAGGCCAGCAGCTCATGCCGTCAACAAAAGAGGAAACTCTGTGGAGCACACAGAAAACTTCCTGGGGGACACAGACGACGTGCCAGTCCAACAAATATAAAAAAAAAAGGTGGGTTTTACACATCCAGAAGTGCACAGAATGAAATACATGACAGCTTTATAAATCCTTATGTCTCAAAAACCCCTCATCTTAATTGTTTATGTGACAAGATATTTAAAAGGGAACGCATACATGTCATTCCTCTATAGAAGGGCGTTTCTCTAAAATTCTTAAATACCAGAGTCACCACCCTGTGGCCTCCTCCTCGCCACACAAACAACAACACAAGGCGCTCTGCAGTGTCACACACTCGTACTCAACACCCAGGAATGTTACCCGTCTACCCAGTTAAAGCAAATACAATGGCGGTATGTCAGATTTAGCAAAGTTACACACGCACACAAAATATGTTATTATAGAAATGCAATGCAAGAGTATCAGCTATTTGTAACCAGTAAAAAAAAAAAACTAAAACTGACCCTTCAGAGGAGAGTAGACTGATATAAGCACGAGTGATTTATGGCTGAGGAGAATCATGGTCAGAATAGGGCGACGTGTGGCTTTAAGGTGAGAGTGAGCCACATCTTTGACATACTTAAACATGATTCTCTTGAGAAGCTGCTGGTCTCCTTCTGTGTAGCCTGGCCAGTCCTTCTGGATCTCCTTATACAAAACGTCCTTCAATGTGAAGGTGTTGTCCTTCCCGTTCAGGTTCGCCACCTAGGAAATGAGAAAGAAGCATGGGTAAGTCTCCTCGCCTCTGCAGCTGTTGAGAGGCAACAAAGGCGATACGTGTGTGTGTGTGTGTGTGTGTGTGTGAGACCTGTTGCAGGTAGCTATCCAGGGAGTCCTTGTCTAGTGGCAAGAGGCCATCTTTCTGCAACCTCAGGATGAGCTCAGCCTTCTTGTAAGGCTTGAGGGCCAGCAGGTGTGTGAGGCGCTCTCGGAGCGGCCGGTGCTGAGGCGTGCCCTTCTTCAGCGTACTGCTAGAGATGATGACGGGCCGAGACGTCCTCCGTAACGGGGCGACGTCCGAGAGGCCAGGTGCCGGTTTCCGGATCTGAACCTTCTTACCTGAGGTGGAGTTACAGACGGGGGGGGAGGTTCGCATTAGAACAGTTGAGTAAGGATTGGTCAAGTTGTATTTTAACACAAAAAAAGAAAACACTTTACCATTGCTGAGAATTTCAACCACAGGTAGAATTTCGGACTAAAATCTAGCACTGAAGCAACAAATGCTGGTAGAAAAGGACTCTTGTGACTTTTTGGCTGGCAGCCAATGCTCGCTTGTTTTCTTAACAGAAAATAACTATTATCTCAGCGAGAAATAGTCAACATCTTTCATCTCAGTGACTGATAACGGCTGAGGGATCTTGCAGATGACTCATAAAAGATGTTTCATGCACTGATCTCAACCGCTGCCACGTCCACCAGAACTCACCTCGCATTACAAACATCAGCCAACACCACCTTCTCCCACTGAGACCTTCTTTTAAAGGTGATTCAGCCTGAATTTTGTGTTGCCTCCTACTGAGAACAAAACACTGTTTGGCTCCACGGCACACATGGACTAGACATTCTTTGACTCACTGCTGAGCAGTGAAGAGGCTTACACTGGATTTCTTTCTTTGCAGGCAATGAGGCTGCACTGCTGTGGGGTTTTTTTCTACAGTAGCTGTAGCACGATGTGCTTTATAGTGCAGGTCGGAGACCAAAACAAGAAGTCAGACAGTTGACGCGTTACGCCCGGGGTTGTTTTGGCCCCGGCGCGTTTGAATTACATTCATAAGGGTTAGCGAGAAGGAAGATCAGCGTGCGTGTGGCACATTGGCTGTGCGACCATTGAGGAAGCAACCACCATCAAATTCAATATAGTCCCAGTTACAGATGAGGCATGCTGACAGTGTGCTGGCCCTTTGCCATTCAGCCCCAGACCCAAACAACCTGTCTGGTGCAATGTGAACCCATTCACCAGCCGAGGAAGGCTACACAAACACACGGGCCATTTGGCCGTTTGCAAGGCACAGAAATTCTTCCAGCCACTACGTGCCTGTCAAGTCACAACACCTTTGTGCTGTTTAAACGGAATTTCCTCTTTTCCATCAACCAAAAGCTGAGTTATTATCAAATATTGGTCTTATGTCTGGCTGACGGGAGCATGTTTGGTGGTCTGCATGCATCTGTGCCATCATGTCTCCTCACCTACGTATCTCCCCCCGGGCTTGATGACGATGGCACTCCGACTGCGAGTCTCCTCCTCGACCTGGGCCATATTTTCCCTGGCCTTCTGGTAGGAGTCGTCTGTGGCACACACTGTAATCTTGTCCTGGATCCCACCCAAACAATCCAGTTGAATGCTCCCTTCACTGCCAAAACAAAAAAGGGAGATGTTGAGAGAGGAAGTCCGGGATTGAGCATCCAGAGAAAGACAATGGAAAAGATTAGAGGGGAATCGCTACTTATTTTAAAAGGTGCTCCATGAATATTTGGACAGTTATTTGAGATAGACAAGAAATAAACAGATTTCACGTAATATTTTAGGGCATGCTACTTTAAAACACTGACCATACATCCGCCACTACAAGTTCTCAGTATTAACCTTAAATCTCTCACTATTTGCAATAAGCCATCCCTTCACTGTGCATTCCTGCTCAGATGAGATCCATGAAACTCCCCGAGTGCACAACTTTTATTTTTTTTAAATTTCCAGCCAACTGTGGGATCCCACAGTACGAGTCACTGCCGCATCAACGCCCATTCTTTCCATCTCTCTTTGATTCTCCTCCACTTTGATGAGGATTTGGCAGAAAACGAGACGGTGCCGGCGCAGTCGGTGGAAGCGGAGCTCTGTCATTTGGGCTTCAGACTGGAACTCGAGGTTGATTCGGATCCAGTCAGAGACGTGGATGACCTCCACCTGACCCACTTGTTAAGAAATATTTTCTGAATAATGGGGTCAGAAACTTGGACGGTCAGAGAGGCAGAGGCTTCTTGTTGATCCTTATTCTGTTTTTCGACTTCCTTCCTCTTCCAACGCAGACATCTGGTCCCATTTGCGTGACTCAGGCAACAAAATCGACACACTATGTTTGGCCAGAGAAAGTCTGCAGAGCAAGTTTAATGGGTTGGATGCTTAGAAGGGGATGGACCCACATCATCAGCAGGTTGTGTGTCATTGCAGCTGCTATAAACACAAAGAGACAACACTTGTCTACAAAGATTAAAGAACGCACTCGCTTTAATTTACACTGCTTTTTTAAAATTTTGCAACTGTGCAGAATTTGCAAAACCATATTGTTTAATAAGTGTGTTCAACAGAGGTCGTGAGTCCCCTCAAGTTAACCAGGTCAAACATACAGATTGCCTGCCTGGGAACACTCATTTTGCAACTGCAAAGACTTTACACAGAGCCAAAATTAAGTATTCAAATCCATCGCCACGGTGTACAAATATTGACATTACAGACGGTGAATCTGTTGCACATTTGATGAAAGTGAGTGAGAGTCAAGTGTTTGCGTTCACCTGGTGATGTACTGCTGGATGCAGTCGAAGCTGCCCTGGGGGTTATCTCTGCCCACATTCGACAGGTAAAAAGTAAACGATTGCAGTTCACTGGAATTTTCCGACCGTGGTATTGAAATTTTCTGTTGAAGACAAAAGACGAAAAACATGATTATGAAATCAATACACCGGTTCTTAATTATTTGGTGTCAGAACAACACTTCAAAGTTCCAACCTACTCTTAATAAATCACATTTGAACAAACTAAAACTATAGTTCAATAATAGTTCCATTATTGACCACGCTGCCATACATACGTACATGCGTTTTCTCCGATCTCTTTTGGAGCTGTATATTATCAACATCAGTAAGATACCAAGAGAGGGTGACCAACTGCACTCCACACCCTATTTGTAGACCTAAACTCATTTTTCTTTTTGATGCATTCAGTACTATAAACAAATGACAGTTCTCTATTGCTTGAAAACCTGGCTCTGCCTCGGCAAAGCTGCGAGTAAGCCTCAGGCATTTTCTTGCTGGCTTCAAAGAAGCCGATAACCTCACGAAATGCAGCTAAAAATCTGCTGCCTTATATTCCTCCAGCTTGCTTCTGCTAGGACAGTCTGCACACTGCAGAGTGTTCCTAATGATGTTCCCAACGTGTCATAGGAGGAACCGCAGGTAAGTTACAGTAACAGAGGAACTATGAACTGTGTCTTTCTGCAGTCTCTGGCCTTCACCGCAGTTTGCCACATCCTATTCCAGCCCCAGTTCCTCCCACACTACAGGTGTTGCGTTTAGCAGACGACAGAAGAACTGGAGTTAACCACCGTTAAGTAATCTCTGGAAACCTCTAATCAGACTGCTGGGATGCAGATGCCGGGTTTTTCTTTTTCTTCCCTGGAGGGCCGGGCAGGATGAATCCCTGCTCAGCTCCGTTTTCATGAACACGAATTATAAGCGGTGTCAGAGCCCCGGACGGTGCACCGCACTGAGCCACGGTGACAGGAGATGGTTTTGGATTGGCGGTACAGGTCCTCTGGAGCACCTCATCGCCACTGACCTAACCCAGATCAGAGGCTCAGCCTTGTGACTCACTGGCTTCTTCTTCAGTGCAGCTGGGACTGACATGCGTTCAGACTGTAGGCAGCTCTGTTTACCAGAGGTCCCAACACGTGTAAAGGCTGCAGGTGGCCTGCTATAAATACATACAGTGTCCTTTATTTGCCCTGCTGGAAAACCTGTGCTCTCAGTGGTACATAGTGCTCTACTGCAGTAGAACATGACACACACACACACACACACACACACACACACACACCTGCAGTTCACCTCATACAGATAAATCAATAAGAGATAGAATTTGAAAATACAACCATTATAATATTAATTGATTTTATTATCATCATTATGACAGTTAACACAGGATAAAGACGATACTTCACTACAAGGTTGTTGACTGGACGCTACAGAATGCTGGTCAGTACACATTTGCCGTGGCAGAAGATGGAGGTGGAGACTATTTTGGCAGCAGAAGAATAATGTAGAATATGTATGCTTCTGCCAACCAGTCAAGTTGCAGTTTACACCAATGTCTGTCCAAAATGTTGCCACCACATCATTTTATCCTGTTAGATATATGTGTGACATTGTGTTCTGTGCAGTCACAGTAACCTTTAACCACCAAAATCTAATCAGTTCACTCTGAAGTGGATGTTTGTGCCAAATTTGAGGAACTTCCTTAAGGCATTCCTCAGATATCACACACGGACGGATGACCGACCCGAAAACACTGCGCCACTCAGAGCAGAGACGTAAACCCAAATCACAGAGGATGGTCTGAACCCCTGTGAGGAGCTGACCTGCCTCAGGCAACCACAACCATTAGAAGTTCTGCATGTTCTTGTAAATAAACCACATCCTTCGCCAAGTTATGACGTCTGAATCTATGGAATTCAACCAGCCCGTGCCAACATGCTCGCAAGAGGAAATAGTTCTGATGACACATTTACCCACATATTCACTTGTATCTCTGCTTTAAAAATGTTAATTACAGCAAACAGAGAAGCAACTCCTGTCTCTCACACACACACACACACACACACACACACACACACACACACACACAC